ATCCGAGTCTGAACCGCTGTCGATTTACTTTGGAAGAGCTATTTTTGAACTGTATCTGATATTTGAGGGACTTGAACACCAAATCTGATAAAACCGATATTCACCCCACTTGCTTCTGAAGATGAATTCGGTCGTATTTGATAAACTCCATCTAGTTTGGAGGAACATTACACATATGGTGCACAATAAAACTGAAATCAGACGAAGATATGTAGACGAGGTATATCTAAATCTGGACCGATTATCACCAATTTCAATAGGGTAGGTCCTTGGGCCAAAAAAGGATTTGTTAAGAATTTCACCTAAATCCGACCACTTTCCTCTCAAAAATACATGGACAGACGGACGGATATAACTCAGAATGTTATACTTAAGGATCATCTTCAAAGGAACTACATATGGGTCTATCTTGTTTCCTTCTGGATTTTACAAAAGTTTAAAGTTTTTAGAAATATATAAATTTCAAATAACTTCGTTTAAATCTTCCCTCTACACCCTTTTTCTAATCTTAGTTATGTAATCCTATTTTTTTGGATTTTTGGAGAATTTCCTCTGTCAACTTTCCTCTCAAAAATACATGGACAGACGAACTGACATAACTCAGAATTTGATCCTAAGGGATCTTCTTCAAATTAGCTATTGTCCTATCTCGTTTCCTTCTGCACTTTACCAACTTTAATGTCTTTAAAAATATTTAAATTTCAAAAAACTTTGTTTAAGTCTCCCCCCTGCACCCCCTATTTCCAATCTTAGTCATATACTCCTATTTTTTCTGTGGAAACTTAAAATGTCAGCAATTAATTTCATTTTAATTATATTTGCTCATGTTTACAATATCAATGAGATAGGGCCGGGTCGGCAACACCCATAAACTGCTGCTGCTGCTAGTACTACAACGAAACAATGGTTGGGACTTGTAGTAGACAAATCAAGAATCTAACAATTGGACTTAGCAGCAGGACAACAGACCATAGGTTATACACACTACCGTACGCAATCCATTGTAAAATCCTTAAGGGCCAAACTGCCAATAATATGTAATATGAATGTTATATATACGTATGTATATTGAAAACCCAAAACTATACAAATGAGAGTATATTTCTCTGCATCTATGTATGTGTATTGAGATATCAAAAGGAAAATTTATGGTTTGAAAAACAAATACAAATAAAACACGCCCTACGATTTGTTAAAACTACGTAAGACAAATCTACAAATGCATTATATTGAATTGAATGTGTGTGTGTGTGCGTGAGAGAGTGAGTGCCAGTGTGTGTGCAATAATGGTATGCCAAAATGCATTCTTAGAGCGAGACCCAAAGAAGAAGAATTTTCGTTATCCAAGAAGGGCCTGTTAGCTACTAGTCTAGCAAAATGACAATAACATAAAACTGCAATTCAAATTGTAGGTAGTTACACACACATTTTGATATATACACATATGTATATATGTGTGTGTCGATTTTTCTACAATACAAAAAAATAATCAATATTGTAAGGATATGTGTATGTATGTCCTTATATGCATATTTGCCTAACAACAATACATAAAATATTCTATTGGCAGTTTTGTGTTTCTTCCCATTGCATTTCTTGCCATTTTCCTATCTGTCGAAGTTGTCATTTGTTGCGTGAAATTTACCGTTTTCTTATGCAAAATCATGCCTGTATGTATGAGTGTGTGTGCATATTCTTAACATGTACTTTTCGGACTAACAAGGACATTTCTGGTCAGGTTGCTTGCTGGCTCACCAGGCCAGTGCCAGCTAGAGAGCTTGGTATTGGAGAATTTTCTATTATTGAAAATTTCTTTCTACAATGGATTTTTCGATTTGTGGGCAGAACCAAAAAGACATGGTTACACACACACACATTGATGTACATATATACATATTGATATATACAAAAAAAAGCAAACTACAATACAAATAATGTTTTGTGAAATTTTCAATTTTCAACACAGCAAAATCCTTGCTGGCTATTATAATGCATACATATAAGGCATGTCGTGTTGTTGTTGTTGTTGCTTTCTTGTTTTCTGATAATGCATTTTCTTGTTATCCTTGCTAAATCTTGTCCATACATTTACATATATATAAAAAATATTGTATAGAGAATATATGCAATATCTTTCCAATATTGAGTCTTTTGTTTGTTTGTTGGCATTTACTGCTCCACCTTTTATATGTCCCTCTGTCGCAAGTTTACTTAGGATGTGGCCAAGGTGTCCATCACTTTTTGCCGAGCGAAACACTCACTCTATTTACATATTTTGCAAAAAAAACCTTAGATTACAAAATATAGAAAAAAATCTCAATGAAGTTCAGAATTAATTTTCAGTTTTTTTCTTGTTTTGAAAAATAAAATCATCCTTAAATTTATTTCATCTGCCGGAAATAGTGGCTCGTGCTTGATTTCACTTTTTTTTGTGGGAAATCAATTGTTTAGGGGTTTTGTCGTATTTTGAGAAACGAATGAGTGCCAAAAAGGGGTTTGCCGATTTCAATGGTAATTAAACACTACTTCCTTTGTATTTTAAATTTTTATTTTTTGGATAAGAAAAGGAGTCTGTTTTAGTTCTCTTTAGGTCACCAACAAAAAAAAATATATTATTTAGAGAGGGAATGTCAATCAAAAAACAGTCATTGTGTGGGAGCGTTGAGACAGCTGACAGGAAGGCAGGAAAACATTGAAAATAAATAATTAAATAGTTTTTTTTTTGAATCGAAAAAGTCCAATATTTTCAGACAGGGAGACGAAGAAGGTGAAACCAAATATACCAATATTCCCTTTTGATGATCTCCATAGAATTATTTTTGAGTCGATTTAAGTAAGTCCGCCATGTATTTTTGAAAATAAAATACAGGACGCATTTATTTTCCGATTGAGATGAAATTTTACACAGATCATTTGTTTGACCCAAAGACGAATCCTGTAGAAATTGGTGATGATCGATGCGATTTGAGATATAGCTCTCATAGATATCTTTGTCTGATTTCAATTTTATTGGGCGCCATAGGTGTAATACTCCTCCAAATGGGATAAATTACGGCAAATCCGACCGAAATCAGCCTAGAAGCAAGTACGTCACGATTGGTGAAAATCAGTTGAGATATAGCTATAGCTCCCATAGATAGCTTCATTCGATTCCATGGTTATTGTGCATCAAATCGTTAATTTCAGCCGAAATTAAGTGAATTTTTGCTCATATAACCGAATTTATCGTGGAGGAATATACGACATATGGTGAATCGCATATCCCGAAAATCTATTTCACCGATACAAATAAATTTTTTTTGAGGTTAAAAGTCGGGCCCGACTTTATTACTTGTTTTTAGTACCAGCCAGACTTGCCGTTTTTTTAATTCAAATTCGAGAAGGAAATTAAATTTACAAATTTAATCCTTTTGAGCATTTAAAGTTTGAAAAATTTATTTCAATTTTGGAGAGAATTTCGATTTTTTGAAAATCATTTCATGTCACTATTTACCCTTGTCCCTTGGAGTTTTCTAATCTTAACACCTTGTTTTATGATTAATCACTAAACAAATAATGGCTACTGTATTCAATTTCTCCGGGTGAAAAAAGAAAATCCACTCTTCATTCAATCCAAATGCCTCAGCATAAAGCAAAGGAAGGAGAAAATATCAAAATCAATAAAAACAATATTAGAAATATTTTCATAAGCGCCAGGCATTATATTTACATTACATTCCAGAAAAAAGAGAAAAAAATGTTACAAATGCAAGATTACAAGCAATGATTAGATTGGAGCAAACATTCCCTCTTTTCCCCTTCCCTTTGGTAACCATGGTAAGCCATGCAGCTAATCAATGTTTGTTTAACGCCACAAATTGAAGAAATTTTCTTTAACCAAAAAAAAAAAAAAATATATATATAAATATGAAATTCCTAAAGTGATTGACTGAGAGGTATTTTTACCCCCACCCCCTTCAGCACAACTCTCCCTAGACACACGCACACACATTTCTTTGAGTGCTGCCATGCGATATGGTGCAATGATATTGCATTTCAAGCACTACTCCCGATCGATATGTAAGCGATCATGGCTGAAATGTTGGTTTTTCGTTTTTTTTTTTCGGTACGGTGCGGTTTGGTTTGGTGATGATTGTAAATAGATTTGTTTAGAATTGATGTTATGATTTTGATATGGAACGCATACAATGCGTTATGAAAGGCCACAGAAAACGCCACAACAACAACAAAAAAATGAATCGTAGTAATAACAACAATTATTGTTTACACACTGACGCCACTGTGGCGGCATGTAGACATGGATTTCGACAGTACTCCAGGCAAAATCAACAAAAAAAAAACAAACTAAATTTATGAGGGAGGTGGTGATGGTGGCGGCCCGTCCCCCTAACCCCAATGTGTGCAATATGCAGTTAAGTTTTCCTGGCGTTATAATGAGCCACCAAAAAAAAATATTTCCCAGCTAAAACACAAATGCCGAATATTCACACACACGCCGAATAACAAAAAAATTAGGACATTTTAAGTACTTTCAAAATAATGAAATAAACATATCCCATTTCTCCCCCAACACACACCAAAAAAAAATTAGATAATAAAATGTATTAGATTACAAAAGTTAAGTGGTCATCGTCAGGAAAAAAAATAAAATAAAAAACAAATGGCGTTTTTGGGGGTTTTTCCCGATAATCATCATCAGATATAAACGAGCACTATTTTTTGTTAATTTTTATTTAATTTATATGGTAGGCCATTGTTTTAATAGAAATATCTTTTCGACAAGATAAACCTTCTCAACTGTCATATTGCCAAGTTCAAATGATTGATGAGGTTCAGTTTGTTTTTTTTTTTTCGTTGTTTCAAAACAGGTGATCCACACAATATAAATAAATATTCGATTATTCTTTTTTTATCTATAAACCAATAAAAATGTCATACTAATTGTTATTGTTTACTCATTTCGCGTTTTTTTTTTCTACCCCATCTCTATTTATTTTTAGCATCCCTACCCCTCCGAAGATCAGAAAAAACAATTGGCACAAGATACCGGCCTGACGATATTGCAAGTTAATAATTGGTAAGTTGGAAAATGAAAACATATTATTTATAAAAAAATCAGTGAAGAAAAGTCAAAACTGACCTGGAGAAGGCTTCAGCAAATGTGATACTCATAAGTTCTAGGTTAAATTGGATTCTAGGTTAACTGGAATAAATCACACTATCACGCTTGAATTCCATCACGAATAACTTTTGTGTTGGAAAAATCTCACCAAAATGATTTTGTATGCTTGTAAACAATAAAATGAGCTGTCACTGGAATAATTTTAACAGCTGTCGGACGAGTGGCTTAGAAATGACAGCAATCTGAATTTGGTTGCAGTTTCCCTTAATTTTTCGAAAACTAAAAGTAAATAAAAGATAAAAATCGGAAAAAAAATATTTTTTTTAAATTTTTATTTTTTAAAAATTTTTATATTTTTTATTATTTAAAAAATACAAAAATTATTTAAAAATAAAATTTAAAAAAATGAATTTTTCCAATTTTGTATCCATTTTGAAAAAGTTCAACATTTCTAAACATATCTTGGCAAAAATATATTGAGTACAACCCCTACTCCTCCCCCTGCATTTTTCGAAAACTAACATTATTTGCCCCCGAACCAACAACAACAAGCAATCTTAGTACATTAACCTCAATTTGTAGCCAACAATAATAAGGTTGTGTTGCCTGCCGCTGATCTCGTTTTTTTTCTCCATTTGTTCCATCAAATGTTTGCTGCTGGTAAGATTCCAGCCAAGACCAAACTGCAAAACTGACAACACCAACAACAACAGCATGCAATAGTTACTACAAATAAGTGTTGTTTGTTTGCCAAGAAATTGTTTAGCTTTGCAATAGCCTGAAAAAAACATTACCTACCTAAAAGCAAAGCACAAGGCAAGCCACAAGAAAAAACGCTAATAACAGCAACCCAAAAAAATATAAATTTTGTATTAAACATCAATAGCAAGAATAGCAACAACAAAAACGCTTGAAACGACCATGATTCTGTGGTCACAAAACATAACAAAAAACCATAACAGACCCAGCCAAGAATAAAGACCGAACAGAAAAACAACAACTGAAATCAGGTTGTTTTTCTCAATGCACCGGCAATATTTTGTTAAGTCAGTGATGTTGTTGTTATTGTTGCTGCCAATGCCTAGGTCTGTCCACATTATGATTTTGTCAACCAGCAGCAGCCCGTCATCAACATTTTCTTTCTCATGACTTAGAGAGAGAGAGAGATACCGCCTTGATTTGGTGCAGTGGTTGTTAGGTTCTTGGCCAGCAAAATGTAAAAGGCAAACCGAGAGCACCAATCTTTATATAAATATATAACAACAATATATAAGTATTATATATACAATTGTCGGCATTTTAGACTTTTATCACAAATGCAATGAGTGAGCTTAAAGAAGACCAACCGACTTTAAAGAGACAAAAAAAAACAACACGCTTATTATTTTTTATGGTTCTTTCTGGTTCTTAAGAAGCAACCGAAACCAAACGTTCATACCAACCGACCAACCAACACCAATGACATTTGCTGGAACCTGCAAACACACTCTTTGCACAAACAAATGAGATGTTATAAATCATATTATAAATTATTTATGAAATAAACATTTATGGGATTATAAGCCTAATTATGATTTGTTAAGGCCAAAAGGATTGGGATTTTCAATTCTTAGGTTTTTTTGTATTTCTTGTTATTATTTGTTTGAATTGAAAGTTTCATTGTTATTTCATATATCATTTTTTTCTTGTATCGTTACAGGTTCATTAATGCGAGACGAAGAATTGTCCAGCCAATGATTGATCAATCAAATCGTGCAGGTAATTATAAATATATTTAGAGATATATAAAGATTATGGCGATTAAGATCAAAGCGGAATACTAAACAAGGATTATGGGGGTTTAAAGATGTCTTCTAGTGGCAAAAATTGCCAATAAATCAGATTAATTGGGTGATTAAAAGCTAAGATCATTATTAATACAGCTGAAAATAATTATGTTTGGCAAAAAATTGAAAAATTCAATGTTCGAATTTAGTTCGAATTTTTCGAACATTCCGAAATTCGACAAAATTGTTGTATTTAAGCCGTATGAATGAGTGGAAGTATAAAAAACTCAAAATTCAATCTTTGAACTATGTTCGAAAATCTCGAAATTCGAAAAATTGATTTAAAATAAAAAATTTTAGTCATAGCATATAATATTTAAACAATATAAAAAAACAGAAGTGTAATAAAGCCCAAAATTCAATCTACGAAATAAGTTCGAAAATTTCGAAGTTCGAAAAAGGGATTAAAAATAATAAAATTGTATCATATTTGCAGTAAAAATATGAAAGCAGAGGAAATTAATTGCTATATTCATTGTTTTTTGCATTAAAGCTTCATTAAAATAGAAAAAATTTAAATATTCGAATTTCAATGCTACATTTTCCACTTTAATTCAATAAATCAGATTAAATAGGTTACTCAAAGCATGTTTAATGATGATACAGCTCAAAATAATCATATTCGCGCAAAAAAATCAATAAAAACCAATTTTCGAATTAATTTCGAAATTTTCGAATTTCTCGAAAATGCCAAAAATTATTATATTCAAGCAGTATGAAACAACAGAAGTTTAATAAAGCCAAAAATTCAATTTTCGAACTATGTTCGAAAATTTCAAAATTCGAAAAAGTGATTAAAAACAATAAAATTTTGGCATAATTGAAGTTACAATGTAAATGCAGCGCTGATAAATCGAAAAATCGATATACTCAATACCCCCCAAAAAAACCACTAAACCTTCAAAATTTAAATTTTGAATTAAAAATCTGTAAGATTCAATGTTCGAAGTTAGTTCGAACATTTTCAAACCTCTTCAAAATGCCTTAACATCGATATTTTTATGGTGTATAACAATTAAAAAAGTGTGTAAACTCAAAAATTCAGTCTTCGAATATGTTCGAAAATTTCGAAATTCCCAAATTTCATTAAAAATAGTTTTGCTTAGTTATAAGAAACAAAAAAAAAAAATATTTTAATAATATTTAATAATTATAAAAAGCAAACATTTTCAATTCCGAATCAGTTCGAAAAATTCGAAATTCTAGTAAAATTTGTTAGAATTTAATTTTTTTTGGATTTAATTTTATTAATTTTTATTTTTTCCCCTTTTCTATTTCCAGTCTACACCCCCCATGCTGGTCCCTCCGGTTATGGTCACGATCCCATGGGCTACATGATGGACAGTCAGGCCCATATGATGCATCGTCCACCAGGTGATCCTGGTTTCCATCAGGCCTATCCCCATTATCCACATGCTGAATACTATGGTCAACATTTGTAATCAACTTTAGCCCAATAAATCTCATCATTATTTATATAGTTAAACAAACCATAAAAAACCGTAAACAGAAAGGATAAGGCAGAATTTAAAAGTAAAGCTCCTACAATGACTACTACTCCAACTTCTCCCCCTGAACCTTACAACAAAAACAAACAAACAAACAAAGTGCAACAAAAAAACAAAGACAGGATTGGAATGCCAATACCTTGCTCCCACACATCCACACCCACCAAAGTCAAAAGTGAAAACAAATGGTGGGGAATATTTGGTGGTTGGCACATCAACAACAACAACTACTATTATATAGTTTGTTAGAAGGCGACTAAACCAAAATTATAGAACAAAAAAATAGTAAAACAAGAAAAATTAATGAGAAGAAGAGAAACATCTCCCACCCCCACTCCCAGACAAATCAAATGGAAATTCTCTTTTGAAGAAAAAACTATAAATTGAGATTGAAAGAGAACAAATGTTGACCTTAATTAAGGATATCATGGCTGACATCATAACTTTTCAAATAACAAGAACAACAACAACAACTACTACAACAACAAATTACCGGATATACGTAAAAAATTTACTCTAAACAGCTTTAAAATTAAATTGGGAATAGATCGGATGAGAGCAAATATCTTTTAATCATGTCTTAATTAAAAACTAGATAAAGGTGAGTATTGTATAATTCTTTTTTTCTTTTTTTGAAATAATTTTGAATTTAATTTTTGTCTAAAGAAAAAAATATTATTTTTTTTAAACAATTTTACTAATTATTATTTTTGTTTTTATTTTCTCTTTCTCTTTCCAGTATCAAAGCTTTTTATTTAGACAGTCTCTTCTCATCGAAATGAAATCAAGCCAAATCAAGGAGCGAATTTGGAGAAACTCGAAATATTTCCCATTAAAAAAAAGAAAATACCACCAATCAAATTATAATTTTGTAAAAAAAAACAACCTAACCAAACAGCGAATTTAATTTTTTGAAAAAAAAAAACAATTATTTTTTTATGTTAAATATTTTGTTAGAAGGTAAAAAAACCCACACGCAAAAAACTAAGTTCTTAGCAAGGTTAACCAGGATTTTAGGAGAATTTCTTTAAAGCAAAACATTTTTTTAAGAACAAATAATTAAGTTATGTATTTTCTTTAATTAAATATGATGATCTCCTTATTTAAGGGTTTACAAAAAACATAATTTTGATGACAAAACTTGAAAAAAATGGGAGAATTACAACAGAACAGCAAGAACAACCCTACTTAAAGAATTTTAAATCCAAAAAAACATGTGGAAAAAAATCACAGATATGAAAAAAAAAACATTTAGTTATAAACAAAAGAAAATGGAGTAAGAAAAAAAAATTATAAAAAAACTTAAATTAAAAACAAAACAAAATTATTCAATAAGTAAACTAAATAAACAAAGAGAGGAAGAAAGAGTTAAGAGAACACACACACACAGACATATGTATACATAATTTAATAAATTAATTATTAAAAAAATACAAAAAAGCAAAGAAATAAACATTTTTAGTAAAAATCTTAAAAAAACAAACACTTTTCCTCTGCAAGAAAATTTAAGAAAAAAAATTTCTCCCTTACCCCCCAAATATGTAAAAAGTTTTTAATTATTAATATTATATAAACAAAACAAAAAATTAAAATAAAATAATTACTTATTAGTTTATGCAAATAAATAAGGAAAGTAGAAAACAAATCTTTAAAAAATTAAATAATTTTGGCAAGAAAAAAAATACAGGACAGGCTCGATTTGGGAAGTTTTAAATTAAAAAAAATTAAGCTTTTCAAGGCTTCTTTTAACAAAAAAAAAAATAATTTTTGGAATTTTTTAAAATATTTTTTTTTAATTAAAAAAATGCATCCCCTGAATCAAGCCATGTCCTGTATCACCGCACGACCTTCAGAAGATTTCTTTGGAAAATCGTACGTTTTTTCATAGTTTTTCTCCAAAGACCAGCAGTCCGACTTTGTATTTTCACAAAGTCCGAATTGCAATTGAGTTTTTTTTTTCTTAAAAATTTGTATTTAAATTTGCTTATATTTGTCTATTGTACATTATCTTAGATTTCCTGATAATTAAGAGAGAGAAAAAAATCATTAAAAAATAATTGATTTAAACAAAAAAATATATATTATACACATAAACAAAAAATGCTTTATAATTTTATTCACACATCCACACATACATACACAAACACTACTATACATTTTAGTTATTAAAATTAAAACAAAAGTTAAAAAAAAAAACAAATAATAATATTTAAGAAAACAACAATTTCAAAATTTAAAAAGATTATATATAAATATAACTTCAGTTGTTTTTTGTTTCATATTTTATTTTTTTTTTTAATTTTCCTTCTCCCACTTTTTGGAAAAATCCCCAAATTTTTTCAATTGTTTATGTAAAGCTAGCAAGTATTATATAAATATTTTTTTTCTCCTTCAAAGCGTTTTTTGTTTTTCTTTTTTTAATTTCTTTATTGCCCCTTCCTGTAATTGTTTTCAAATTTTAAAACCTAATAATTTTTATTATTATCTCTTACCACTAAAAAAAACAAATATTAATTATAATAATTAAAGTAGTTATAGATGATGAAAAAAATGAAAAAACAACAATGATAACTGCGCGCAGCTGCATATAATTTTAATTTAATTTAAATGGAAAAAATTACAGCTTGTATTTTATTTTAAAAATATTATTTTTTAATTTTAATTATTATTATTATTATTTTTAATTATATGAATGGATTATTATTATTATTATTATTTTGAATGATTGTGAAATGATGCTGAGAGAGTTGAAGAAAAAAATATTGATTTATAAAACAACAAAAACCTATAAAACAATAATTATTTGCAAAAATACAAGAAAAAAAATGAATTTGGTGTTTTTATTTATTTATGATTTTCCTTGGTTGGATTTTGTTGGTTGCTTATTTGGTTTTCCATTTAGTTTTTTTCCACTACTGCATTTTTGGGTTTAGTTTCATCATTTATATATTTTCCAGTTTTTACTTTGGATTTTTATCGGAAATAAGACTATTTTTCTTCTAATCCACTCTATAAATTGCTCGAACTCGAGTTATTCATTAAATTCATTGGAAAATTTTTTATTTGCATTTGGAACTTCCCCTGGCGTTCTAATTTGAAACATGTTACTTCTTATTTCGGCTCAGAAAATGTGATTCTCATTGGTGAATATTTTCGTTGTTTAAATTCTAGTTGGAATTAGGCTACACCTCATTACAACCAATCAGACTGCAATTTTTTCCTTCTCCGAACAGATAGAAGTTGATAACATAATTATATAATTTATAAACTGAATTCAGTTTCAGTTTTTCAGCGGATATTTATGCTTCTTTTTGTATATAATTGGGAATTTAATAATAAATGTCAATCCATGTCACTGGCGTTTTTAATAATAGGAACGGATTTTTACAAATTTGAACGGATTTTTATGGAAAATCAAATTGGAACAAGGACAAATGGGATTATATTTTGTTGCAAAGTCTTCTTATTATTTTGTAACTCAACGTGTGTAAGCAATGAGAGCTATTTAGTTTACTAGTTCACCAAAGCGATTCACCTAAAGGAACAGCTGAACTAGGCCAAAGAAAAGGGCTCATTTCAGATAATTAAAGAGACACCGAAATACCTACTGACAGAGAACCTACTAAGCTCTACTAAAACTGTGGACAATATTATTGACCTAAGGAGCTTATGGTAATTCCCATCAATAAATTAACTACGTTCTCTAATTGGAACGGAAAACGAATGATCTAGTAAATTTTAAATAAGGAACTAGTTCATTATAAAAAGGAAAACTAAGAAGAACCTAAGAAGTACGATGCAAGACTTTCCACTAAATTAAACGACCAGACAAAGACAGAGCCAGATAGATATACTCCGAAGTCATGTGGAAACGGCGAACCATGGCAGAAGAATACAGGTAGATGCATCAACGCTTGGGAGCATTGATATGTCAAAAAATTTTTAATGTTTTTTCAAATACAAGTAGATTTTCATATACTTTCATATACTACGCCATTCGGAGGCTATTATAATTCGCGTTTTCAACAATTTTTACAAATTTAAATAATTTTTCATTCAATATTTTCAATTCCAAAATTGGTTTGACAGTTCATTGTCCAAGCAGCTGTGTCGACGCGTCTACCTATATTCTTCTACCATGTGGCGAACGAATATACATATGAACTACAACAAGGAACTAGATCACTAAGGCCGAATTATAAAGAGCGATGTTCAAAATGCGCAGTGGTGGGAACTGAATGACGAAAGTGAACGGTGAAAAAAAAAATAACTATAAATAGTTTCACACGGTTCATTAACAGAAAATGCCGTTCGTGCGTTTCACAAAGTGGATTAGTTCCAAACGTTCCGTTTGCAGAATATGAAGTTCTTTTGAGTTATTTCAGAACATGTAGTACATCTGTAGTGCAGAAAATAAGTAGAGAACTTGTTCTAGTCCACCATTATGACTTTTAAGTACAAGGAACTAAATAACAAAACGATAAAGTGAAGGATAGTTCCCAAAGTTCCTTTGCAGAATATGCAGTTCATTTGATCTGGTTTGATTCCGGAGCGAATCAATCATATTCATATTTAGCGGGAACATGTAGTGAAGGAGATAAGAAATTTTTTAGTATTTCAGGGGAAAGCATTTGCGTACAATCCTCATGATAGTGCCATTATGGATTTAAGTGTAGAGTTGACGATGGTGCTAAAAAGGTGAGGAATTTAGTTCCAAAAGTTCTTTTGAGAGAATATGAGATTCATTTAAGCTATCTCGTTCAGGAACGACACAAGAGAAATTATGATCTTCAGATGACATTGGCATACGACCTGAATTTGAGTGCTAAATCGATAGGGGAAGAAACATAAAGAATTACACGCTGCGGAGAACGAAAAGGCTGGATTTAGTGTCAAACGTCCTATTTACAGAATATGCAGTTCATTGGATCTAGTTCGCTCCGGAACGACACAACGGTTTTTTAATAGTTTAAAGGTGATAGACTTTATGGGGAAAAAGATCTAAGAAATAAATTTAAAAACCAGAACAATTTCTAGTATTTTTATGGTCTCTAGATGGCATTAGGATGATATATAGCCCTGTTAAGAGTACAGGCATTTTTAGCAATTGATCAAGATAAAAATTCGCGTAGATTAAAAAATAGATGAGATTCCAGAATGTATATCTACATCCTATTTCATGTTTATTGGGCCTAAAAAGTGTAATATCAGCTAAAATAAAATTGATTTTGATGAATGGGCTCAAACAAAAGTGCCTCCGCAAATTTGGTAGAAACCGATTCACATGTACAAAGTGGTGTAGGATTTCATAAAGTCGGCCCGCCCGACTTTAAGCCTTTCTTTACTGGTTTGCAATTGATATGCTACGCAGGAAATGAGATCTAAGGAACAATTAAATCTCAGAGTTATCTAGTATTCCATGTCAGTTCAGATGCCACAACTGCTTCTGCAAAATTTAAAATTCCTAGGAGAATCAAGCAAGCTACGTATCTTAAAGTATGTTTCAAGTAATCGATTGTTCAGTATCCGTAGACAATTTTCTGTAAGACCTGGCCGGTTGTAATTTACAGCACCTTATTTCCCATTACAGTATAATGAGTTCCCCAAGTTCCTAATTAAGATTTCTGGATCGGCAAACAAATGGGGAATACGAAAAGTAACAACGTACAAATTTAGCAAACATGTAGTAGCCACTTAAGCACAACATTTCTTTTGCATTGCCAGTAGGTCACAATGTAATGGGTTATTCCCATTAAATTACAAAGCAAGTAATGAGTAATGGTAGAACAAAGTGTACGTCTTAAAACTGTCACATTATTTAAATTTAATTCAAATTTAACAGTTTTTTGAGCAATCTCTATCCGAGATTGCAATTATTTAGCAATGCGATGTTTTTACATGTATTTGTTTCTGATTTTGACGTATCCAAATTGTTGACCATTTCGTAATGAAAACTTATTGTAATTTTGAGAAAGTTATTGAAACAAACTGTTATTCATTCGTTACTTGTTTTTCGAATAATAGTGGACGAGGAACAAAGTTATTTCTTGTGAAAAAGTCCATATAAAATAATGCGTTAGTAATGCGATTTATCATAAATTTTATTGGCTGGGCTTGAGATTAGTTTTTAATTATTTTGTAATTTGTTTCTATTGGAACACCATAATCTGCTTATGTCTTCTGAGGAAGAATTTTTATATTCCTATTATTTTTGGTAATTAATGCACTTTTATTTTGCTAGCTATTTTTTGTTTCTATTTTAGGAATATACTTAGTTTATTCATAATTTAAAGATATGATTTGAAGTTTCTTTTTTATTTTTTGAAATTTTCTACTTAATTATATCCCCTGGCTTTAAAAGCTGCTTTGAACTGAATTTATATGATTGCAAGTGAATAAAAAAAAAATACAGAAATAAATGAAAAGATATTGGCATGACTTTCTCTTGCAACATTAAACGATATACGTAATTTTAATGCTAATACTTTTCTTTTAAAAAAATATACAAACTACATATACGATTTATTGG